AATTTAGAGCTACTGTAGTAAATCCAAGGACTAGGTAAACAGAAAACTCTACTTGTGTTTTAGAATAAGCATTTAGTGACATCACTTCAAACACAAGATAATACTTTTGTGATGGAAAACATCGCATTGAAATGTGTATACATGTATACACAGTTTTATGTGCATTGTAATAACCCAGTCAGAGTACAAGTCTTCAAAATACGATCAAAGATATTGTTCAAGAAAATAAAATCTTCAAAGAGGACTCATGCCACCATAAATAATTCGCCGTTTCGTCTACCCTGAAGCAAATGCGAATTCTGTTGTATTTTATGGATTTATGGTGGGTGAAAAGACATTTAAAACTTCATATAAATAAAAAATATCATTCTTACCTCTAAGTTAGTACTTCGTTGGGACACGTAGCTATGTGAGGATTCCGAAAAAGGAAAATTACTGTTGACCGTAAGCGCAACAACCAATCAGCAGACTATTTCATCTCTGACTTACAAATTTATAATTTATAGAAATTTTAAAAAAACTACTCCAGAAAATTACAATGTACAAAAATGTGCATATTGTGCTAATCGGAATTTTATAGAGAAACACTGGTAAATAATGATATGTAAATACCACACATGTAATACAAGTCTCTCTTGTTACCTTTGTGTGCCAAATATCCTCTTTTCCTTATTGATTACCCTCTGTTTGTTACCGTTGCTACTCCAAGTTTATGTGTTCTTGTGTGAAGTTACGATTGTTAGGTACGTTATTGATTAACTGTTTTCCTTATTGTTACTCACATTTGTCTTGTTATTTTTCTCAATAGCTTTATATTGTATTCACTGTTTCTTGTAGTGTTTTTATAATGTATACCAGGAAAATTCATCATTACTATACTTTTACTTCGCTTATTTCATTGTAAAAAAGCGAAGTGTTGGTATAATCAGTTGGAAACAATTAGATAAACATACATTTATAAATCTACAACGCCTAGGTTTACAAATGACACCTGAATCTATTTCACTTGGACTCGAACTAGCTAACTTCACATTTCTAGGTGAGCTCTATAACCTCTCGCCTACCCACAGTATTGATCATAAAATCTCTGGTAATATTCGCTTAACACATGCTGTAACAGTTAAGACGCCAACGAGCTAAAGATAACACACTAAAATGAGATATTTACCTTCTCATTAAGATTGAGCCGTTCCTTCAACGCTTCTCCTCTCTTTTGAGATAGAAAATTGTGTGTTTGAGAGGCGGGATACGATGTAAGAGGTTATTTACCACCTCGTTATAGTGGAGATTGTGGATATCATTCAAAACAAACCACTTGCTATAACGATTTTTTTAGTTCCTTTTGGCAATAACAAAACAACTAGTTTTTATAAGAACAGTTCGAATAGTTGTCAGTATTTCTTCAACAATTTATCTTATTTATTACTATTATGTTATAAATGTATAACAAAGGATAAACACTACCTAATAATACTTATTTTGATAAAATGTGGCAAAAATAAAACAAATAAGTAAATAGTTAGGTCGTTGCAAATGCTCTAATTTACACCAATATTTTACCTTAAATTACCTTACACTTATAGTTATAACGTGTTTTACGGGGAAGTTTTATTGAAGGAGAATTATTTTTATTTAAACTTAATATTGGCACCTTTCTTGTAACGTCATTTTTTATTGTTTGTTTCAATGTCTAAAATAATACGGAATGAAAGTAGTTTTTGCTATCGTTAGAATTATGACAGTGTATCTACTTTACCATTACAGAGTCGAAATATCATACATATGTGCTTGTATCAGTGGGTGTAATAACTCTAGTTAAAATAGTTTATAGTTACAACTGGAATCTTCGTGGAAATCTTGATTCTTGTATCCCTATATTTTGCTGCTAACTTTGCTTGACAAGCTTCACTAAATAACTTCTTGATCAGCATTGTACGTGTTATTAAATTTACGGAAAGTAAATAAAAGAAGCTAATAACTTTAACGTTGGTAAATAAAAGATGATAAATATAATAGAAAATATCTAAAGCACACGCAACATCTATTCGGTTTGGGTTGGCGTCTGTTCAAACCATAGGGTGGAGTATTTTGTACATCACTTAATAAAGCATTTTAATTTTGATTTTAAAAATTGCGCTATGCCCAATATAATTACAAAACATGTATATTTAAGAATTTCTCAACCACCTAAATAAGGATAACTCGCTAAGTCATCCATTAGTGGAAAAGCAAAACATTTTATGCTCAAGTCGTTATTATATCTCAAGGGGAATAATTTAAGCATCCAAACAAAAGATAGTTAAGAATATCTTTTATCTAAAAATGTATACGTTTTCCTTGATGAACACAATTATTCCCCAAAAAATCCGCTATTCTTGAAACATGGAACATTTTTTTCGCAAATACCTTCATATATCCCAGACGAAGCTAAATCTAAACGAGATTGTGTGAATGCCTGCGCTGTTTTGTAATCATACTCTATGTACTGTTAACACTACTTCATATCCAATCCATTTTTATAACACATGTCTCATTATGAATCGAAAAAACATACATGTTAAGTGCTATTTAATTATGGATGGGTGTAGGGGTGAACCTGCACAATTACCCACTAAGTAGTAATCCTAGTGCAGTACTTAATTAAGAAACAACTTAGTCGACGTTTCTCCCTCCCCATTCTCTCCTCCACTATATATTTTTGCCTCGAATCTCATCCCCTAGATGTATACCTTTTTAAGATATACTTAACGGAGAAATGTTTAATGTTTAAGCTGAATTAGTAAATCTTCTAAACTTACTTACTGTATTCCTTTGGGCAATTTTAAACTAGGTTTGCTATTTGTTCAAAATTAAATCACAATTATTTTGTAAATTAGTAATGTGCAGATAACAGTAGACAGAGAAGCATGTAACATAACCAAATAGTAGTTACCTTGTAAGCCAACTTAGTTGCATTTGCGTTAGTTGATACTTTATTAGTTGAGCTTATATATTAAAAAATTGTATTATTTACTGCAGCAACAATAAGTGTCTGTCATAATAGCATTCCCATGAAAAAATATGGACGAAATGTTTAAATGTTCAAGCCCCCATTTGTATCATTCATTGAGCTAAGAACTATTTTTTAGATTCCGGCCTTTACAATATGCATACGGTTTAACTAACAACTACGATGTAAAGATCTTCAAACAACAGTTTAAAAGGTAACTGAAACTGACAACGATGAGCTAATTGTGCATAGCACTACTAGTTTAGGGTGGATAGTATCGGAGACTAAATCCATGACACATTTTGTGATACAGGTAAAGTCATCTTGGTTTCAGTGTTCACAGAAAGAAGATACAATATGTCAACCAATATTAATTGATAAATAATTATCACAAACATGAAAAATACCTCTTGTGCTGACTTGTATTATACTTAACATTCTTTACACTGTTCAAAACACATTTCAATTTGCATTGAGTGTAATCGACTGTTAGCATTTCATAATCGAAGTCATTAATAAAACATGTTCAGCTGGAATTAATCTTTTGTTCGGCTGAACACTGGCCAGCCTCTCTCTTGTTGTAATTTATGCAATTTAATGACTGGAGGTAGAAAATTACTTTCTTTGTTTTAATTTTGGGACGAACATATCATTCATGTTTTGGATAACTATTAGTTTATTGAAAACATATTTCATCCCACAGGAGTAACGAACTCGTTGCAAGAACGGAAAATTGATTTAATTTGACTTCTGTTGATTATCAATTTCGGAAGACTTTTCAGTATATTGCAGGGTTCACACTTGCACTTTCTGAAAAATAAATAAGAATAAATAAATATATTACGAAGTTAGTCTGTACCCATTGCGTTCTCAGTGGTAGTTAACACGTTCTTCAGTAACTGATTTTACTCATGTACTAAACAAAGCATACACTTATTTGCATATTCTTAACAAATAAAAGCTGTTTATAATAATTATACATTTGAATATGGATTTAACCGAGGTCAACTAAGTATACTAACATATTAACATTCTACTATCCACTAAGTTTATCTAAGGTCTGTAGATGAAAGAGGTCTTAGGATGTGACATATCTCGTACCAAAATACATGTGAACGCGTAACAACGTATTATTAAAAGGAGTATAGGTTATTATTAACAAAAACAATAACAAATTAACTGTTTATTAGCTATGACAACGATATACATAATTATCCTAGTTTGAAATATAGGTAGTAGCTTTTAAAGCTAGCCAAGATTGTATTGCATTAATAGACTCTATGTGAAACTTTAACATGTCCTAACCTCCCTGTTCGTTTATAGCATAATTAAAGCGGGCGAACACTATTTGAAACCTATTTTGTAGTGTGAAACTCTTTTATAAGTTAAAGGAGATCATAACGTTCTATGACTTATGAAATTGCCTAAATAATATGCGATTCGCACGAGAAGGAATGGATTGCTAAATTTTCGGAAATCATTCGACTCTGTACGTTTATTTTAATTCCTGCATTTGTGTGACCTTGGTCAGCTAATAAAGATAAGTTGAGTAAAAAGTTGAGTGATGTACGGTGAGCTTGACTGATTTCCATATCACTATAGGAGCAACTTTCCAACAAGACCATTCTTCTGTTTGCTCCTGACTTGGTCCGTAGACTCTTGTCTTTCAGGCTATAGTCATGTTTCCTTAAGTTTTGTTTTATATCAACTTTAATGTGGTGAAGATAAAAGAGCAAAAGAATGATTGGTGAAAATGCCTCCTCGTATTTTTAGAGACGTGTTTATTTATTTTGGATCTAAATAGGTTTTCATAAAAAAAATCAAAGACTTGCCGGATCAAGGGGCTTAAAGGTAAACCGATGTTAGAAAAAATGGAAAAATATACGTAAATGTCAAATATTTTAACAATATATAACATACAATAATATGTAATTCATTGTTTGTCTGTACTTGATGAAATATAAGTAAATGTATGATACTAGAAGTAACATAAGTTTTTTTTTTGTTTCAGAAAAAGACCCGTATCCAATAGAAGCCCTGCCCACTTGTAATCATGCACTTTCCGTTTGTCAGAAGGAGAAGGTTTGCAATCAGTTATACGAGAACTTCAAAAGTCACTGCAAAGTTCGCGATGGCAAGTGCCTCATGGAAGATAGGTAAATGCTTAATGTGCAAGTTTGTAGTTTTCTAATGCGTAAAGTACTCTTAAGTTTCCATCCAGTGTTGCAGAGGATCTAAAATACCCTAGTGTTGTGTTTTGGAGAGTATCGTTTGTGAAGATGTAGCTTAATAGCTACATCTTTACAGAAGTAATAACCTATTAAAATAGCACGTCTATTCTGTTAATGCTATTATTGTAGTGTTCATAGTAATGCCCAGGCATAGGCCACTCACTTAAATTTTAAAATCTCCGTGAGAAAGCTTTAAAACACTAATATTATACAAAATACTGTGCTAATATATAGTATTAGAAACTTGAGAGACTGTAATATGTAGTTAGTATTTTTTGATCTTGTACTCGTTGGTCTATACAACGATGAAAGCTTTAAAATAGTTGTATGTTAACTTTACTTTGCTAATTTTTACAAACTACAGGAATATTCTGTACATATTGTGTCCTTTTAAGAAAATTTCATCATTCCGCATCCTAATTTTTTCTAAGTTTATTTTAGCACAACTATATGTTTTAAAATGCCCTATATCTTTCTCCGATTAATCAAAAAAGTTTATATTCCAATTAAATAGTTTAGAGTCCAACGTTGAATACATTACGTTAATTTTAAATGTGATAATAACATCCAAAATATTTTGATCGAGGAGTCACATCGCATTAAGAACATCACACATGCATATGCTTTTAGTAATACCATAATAACGAAAGGGCTTGTTATTTTTGGTTACGTGTTTTGTAATTTATAGAAATAGAAATACTGATTATAAATTGTCCCTGGAAAACTAAGAATGAAAAGCTTAATAAAGTACTTGAACCCGTCAAAGCATACTATTACATTTAAATACATACTTTTGGAAAATTTCTAAGCCACCATTAACTGAGGTGACCATTAACCTTTCCACTACAATATTTGGAGCAGCGTTAGGAAAAAAATATGTACAAGTTTTGTTCATGAAATGAGAACGTAAATTGATAACCAATTTTGTCTTTGTCTGTGTTGGTTAAACGACACAATTGAGTGATGGTTGGTCCTAGATAAGAATAATAAAACTGTTAACCAATATTGTATCGTGTGCCTAATTCATATTTTCATTATTATTACGCTAAAATACTTTTTGCAACACTTACTTTAAGTTGGTTTAGCCAAAGGCACGCCAAAACAAATGCACTGGGACATACTCGTATTCACGCGTAAGAAACATGGAAAAATCTACATTGAATCAAACAGATGTTTTTCGAGATTGATGGAACAGCCTAGACTGAAACACGTTTAAACACAAATGTTTTAAATGTACACGGACAAGCTACTGCTACTTACTTAAAGGTAAGCAAATCAATTTGAGAAAATTTGATCCATAGAATGAAGGAGCAAGGAGCTCACTAGTACAGTTGGGATTTGGGAATGTATGATTCATTTCTGACCACTCTATTAATCCTCGTTACCTAAACTGTCCCAGTTGTGATGATAAGGTTTGATGGCAGTCCCACCTGCTAATCTACCGTGTTGAATGTGAAGTTTGAAAGCTTAGGCAAGTGACGATAGTCTCTGTCGGGACGAGGGGGGGCCTTACACGTATGAAGACGACATGTGTTGCAGGGAGGCGTGCCACGAGGCCTGGACCAATATCCGATATACCCCGATGTTCGGATGCATTTGTCCGAACAACCACATGAAGAAGCGATGTGACCGTGTGTTCACATCGGTAAACCACAACCCTTGCATAGGTAAGTGGTAGAGGTGGTGGCGGTGGCGCATGCTGTCGCACCCATCTCCACTACAGCCTCCTCGCACCTCACCACTCGAGCACCGCATGTTTCTCACCCTCTCACTCACTCAGTCACTCACTCACTCACCACTCACTGCTCACTCGGCTCTGTTTGTGTTGCAGCACTGTCACCACTGCACCCCCAGTGAGCGGACCCGTCGTATCTTTAGTGGTTATTTTCTCTCCCAGCCGCACTCATGCTTACACAACTCTTGTTGGCAACCAGCTGACATTATAAATTGGCACGTTTTAAAATTACTGAGCCGATATTCGGAATCCGTTTCAGTTAAGGAGATATCCAAGGAAGCGCCGTTCTCGTTTGACGGCGTCGAATCTCAGGTAGAAAATCCGTTGATGGGGCTAAGAGGGGCCGTTCTTAAAGAAAGCGGGCCGAGCCAAGAGCATTTGGGCGGCTACAGCAAATTGTTCGGCTCGCCCGGCCTCCGTACCCGACCCAGAACCTCTAAGATATCTCCAAGTATGTATCCATCAGACTCTATCTTACTTGTATGTTTGTCTGTAATGTGTCAAACGATCTGTCTGTACATAGGCTACATTGAGTGTGAGGTCAGAAGAGATAAAGAGAGGGCATATCAGGACAGATAAAGTATAGTTATACAGCTTGTCACTACACTAAAACAGTGTGAAGATCCTGAGACAACACACACAGGCACACATAAACTCATTAGCTCTCACATTAATTACACAATGACTCGAAAACCACTATGTATCCTTACGTTTTGCTCTTGAAGCTGTTTGAGTAAGAGTAAACGGTAAAATATGCATCATACAATCTCATGCTCGTATGATTACGTGTTACAAATAATAACACGTACGTTATATCTATACAAAATCTTATATACAAAAGTTATAGATACAAAACGTGCACATTTTGCACATTTAAAAGACGCGGTACTTATGGTACATCAAGATTGTGTACAGCCACGTATGTCATAATGGCTGTGTTTCGAATGTTGTTTTTATCCTACCATTTTATTATTATTATTATTATTGGGTGGTTCGCCATTTATGTTCGTAGTGACTCCATCAATTTTCTTACATTTTACTATGACCTTATCTATGAGAAAAATGCTGTCAATTCTTTATAGATTTCTGGCGTCTCCTGAAATCATAACATAACTCATTTGGCCAGCAATGTTATTTTAACAACACAATAAATGTTCACCTTTCCGTGTTCACTAAATAAGATAATGTAGAAGGAACATTATTGATTAAATAAGAGTTAGCTTACAACATTATTAATAATCATTCAAAATCGTGTAAAATCAATCTAAAATTAAAAACCGTCATTATTTATTTTAATAATTTTGAAAATATCATTCTTCTTGGTAAAAAATATATTTTTTCAAGATCGGAATTGAAAAAAAAATTGGAAATGTTTCGAAGCTAAGTAAAAGTAATTTAAAACAGAAACATTAACATAAACTTTTCTCATTTCGTGATGAAACAACCAAATTTTGTTCTCAATTATTTCGCCAAAGCAGAGATGAAACTTTTGTCGATTTTATTAATAAAATCGGAGGTTTCACTACGCTATCTTTTATAGATATTATTGGAGAATAGATCATATATAGAAATAATCATATGTATAAACGAAAATATGAATTGAGCTACAAGATATTATAACAATGTCATTAGTATTTTCCAATTCGAAAATCTCTCAACCGGGTTCGAATAATTTTGTCCAGCCAGGAGAGAAAATGTGTCTAGAACACGATCCAGCACACACACACTTCCAGCCTGCTTGGCGCACTGGAGACATAGAGTACAGTAGGCCTAAACTGTATAAACTTAAATGCACCACCCGTAGAGCCCATAGCCACGCCCGCCCTACTCACTTGCTGTTCTACATCTGAGATTCAAGTCCAAAACTTAAACTAATTTTCCAACAACTGGCGAGATGTAATCTACAGAATGGAATAAATAAACAATAAGGACTTCTCAATCGCCAGAAATTCTGCACTATTTCTCCTTTTAAAATTATTAACACGGAGTTACGGTATATAGTTCATAAATCTTGTACATAAAAGATGTTATCAAAGCTTTTTGCAACAGCTCAATTAAATAACTGTGAACTAACCCAATTGTCAGTTAATTATCAGTATTCAGTGGATAATGGCAAGTGAGTAGATTATTTCGAATTTCACACTCTGTAAAAAGTAGATTTCGACGAAATGTTTTCTTCTCACATTATTACTTTATTGTAATGTAATAGTATATAATATGCATGCTGATATAGTTAAATGCTAAAGTAAAATATTGAATCGTCACCCGTGAAGAGGTTTAAATTGTATTACAAACGTGCTATTATGTATCAGACATATTATTAAACTATTGATCTATTTTGTTATCCAGACAAATTTACTTTCATGTTACATTTTGAAAATCCGTTAATCGAACATTTTTTACTTCATGCATCTGCGGGAAGGTTCAAGAATTGCCATACAGATATTAGCTAAACAATGTTAAATCAAATCTTTTTTAAATAACTTGTTTCTGTCGAAAAGTAATAAATATTGTCCGATATACGAATGAATAAAATCTCGACTACTATTGCACATCGTTTAAAACCACAGCTTATTACATTTAATTTATTACATTTTTCGGCATTTCATTACAGTGAAACGGTTGTTGTTTAAACTTCTGGGCTTAAGTGAGAAATCAACTCGGGAAACATCAAGATTAACACAAGCTGGCACCCGACTTTTAACTACCAAACAATATCTTCATTATCTTCTCTATCAGAAATGTCACCCTATGTGTCTCTGTGGCATGATGGGCACGCCTCTCACTTCACTATCCAACGTTGTTTAGTTCTTTTCAAAATTCTATCCGCAAATGTATCTTTTGTTTAGTAGCCTGTTGACGTAGTACCCATGTTATAAGATGTCTAGTGGTCCAAGATTCTATTAGAGCAATCTTATACTGATTTTGACAATATTGAGGGTGTTTCGTTTCGTTGTGGGGTGGCAATTTAAAAATAAAAAATAGAAAAACTAAGAAATTTCTAAATTGTTGCCTAACTGTGTGTAATATGTGCATGATTCCATTAAGGTTTAAACTATCAACCTAAAACTGTTCTATGTGTAACCAAATAATGGATCGTTTGTAAATTGGGGACGTGATAATAATTTATCCGCGGTAGTAATAATAACCAAGAATAATTCCATTTCATAAGAGTTACTTATTTTAGGATATTTAATGAATATTTTTCAATAATTCCAAGTTGTTATTTTAAACGTTTTCAATGACTTTGCTTAGGCACAGGACCGAAAGCGGAAGAGAATGCTTCAATGACATTTCAGAGTACATGCAACCAAGCATTGGAGCTGTGCAACAACAACTTTGAGTGCAGAAATGCTTTAATACCAGTCCTGCAGTTCTGCAACATCAGTCGCTGCAAGAGACAGAACTGCATGGAGGCTCTGCAGAATCTTTACAGAACAGTTGATGATACTTGGAGCATAGAGATCGCCTTCTGTCTGTGCAAGTTAGTATCCGATCACCAATACAACAGTTTAAGCTACAGCAAATGGAAAAACATAGTTCCTCTAGTTAATATAGGTCTTATACACACTAAAACTTTAAGTTATCATCATGCATTTATTTACTGTCAACACATGGGCTTCTGGGACACATTTGAAAGCTCCCTTCATGTCTCAAAATTGTTTTTATTTCCTTAAATTTAAGGCTTTTGCTCAAAGAGCTAAAATTGATTGCTATTCTTAAATACACGCAATTGTCTTGTTTACATTAAGGCTAAACCAACATTGTAATGCTGACGTGCTATACATTTACGAGTGCCGTGAAGTTAGTATATCAGACAATTGATGTGTAAATAAATACCAATATTCGTATAAGTATTAAAAGCATTATAAGTACACAACAAAGATTTAATATCTGGTTTATTTTAGTATTTTTTTGTGATTTCAGTTACCTTTAAATGTTCTGAGAAGGAGGTTATTATGTGTATCTATTTTTTAGCAGTCCCAAAGCTGGTACTTTGTCCCAAACTGATTTTAAGGAGTTTCCAAAAATCTATAAAACAGAAAAGACTAGAAGTAAAAACATAATTCGTTAACAATTTCGTTTATTATAATCTACAGTTTTGAAGTAAATGATAAAAGTTAATTAAAAAACTTAAGTTTTTTATAACTATGTTTAACTGCATTTAAAATAATAATTACTATATCAACAAACATTGCTACAACATTATTCGTAAATGCACAGTAGAAAGACAGATTTTCTAAGTATATTTTGACTAAGTCGTGCGTGTGAAAGTGTTTGGGCGAGTGGAAGGGGTCATTGTGAGTCCAAATTAACACCCGGAGACTCCTTACAAGTATTTTGACCTATTCTTCGTCAAGTACACACGTCATCAATGCTAAATACTCGCAGCTGAAATAAAAGGGTTTAACACTTTTTTGTTCTAATGATTTTGTACAAGACTCATGTTTATATTAAACATTTTATCATCAAACAAAAGTGTGATAAAAACCATAAACTAAGATATTAAATTGACCTACATATAAAATCTAAGTATTTAAAAAGTCTACAATTTGTTTACGTAATTTTACAAAATTTACAATTAATTGTTATTAAGTGCTCGCCCAACAATTAAAAGGTAGCCGGATCGATTCTGAGAAAAGTCAGTAGCTTTTTGGTTCGAATCTGGACCCAGCTATTCCCTATCAATGGGCTTTAAAAATTATCATGGCTAAAGAAGCAGCTAAACTGTTAGTAAAGAAAACACTGATCATCTCACTCCATCTACACTCATCCTTCATTCAAATTTGGGTTAAAATACGCACCTAGGTGGCGTCCCCATCTCAATTGGAAATGATTATGATAATATAATACAAGTCTGCAGAAAAGTACTTGCAGTCTCCCCGATGACAAATGTAATCTTCGATATAAAGGAACCATAAATTGTGTTGCCTTGTGTAGAAACAATTAATTTAATCGAAGTAATTGAACTATTTACAAGCGTAAAGTTTTGTTATTGGAGTTTATATAAGGGGTTTAAATTAGTTAAAGCTACCACGCTGCAAAGTATGAAAATCATGTTGTAGAGTTAATATTAAAACTAATCTCATTACCTAAGTCAGCTATGAAAATATATTTTAAATAGTTTAGGAAATATTGTAAGCAGTTTCTCAAACATCAAATCAAATATGATAATCTTGTTGAAGTTTTACATGTTATTGGTTGTATGTATCCGTCGGCGCATATGTTAATTAAATTATATTATATTTTCTTATCCAGAGTTTGTAATTGTTGTTTTTATTTTCATACCAACATAAAGCTATTCGTTGTTTGAAGTTCATTTTTGGTAATGGTAGATGTTTATGGAGTACCATGATGTTTCATCCCGTCCACAGGGGTGAAAGACATCATAACAAGTTGAATAAACAAACCCAGCTTAAGCTGGGCAATCACATGACATAAACACACAGACAACTTTACAATAGCAAGAACTACAAGAGAACAGCCTTAAAAAAAAACTTAATACAATATGTTAGAACCTAGAAGGGTACGAAAAAATAGCCTCTGTTCTAATTGTTCTTTTGCATGTAGTTGTGACTACGGTCAGTTTTCTGTGTGGTTATTTGATTTGATTGTCCTGCTTTTGCTGAGTTTGTTTACTTATCTTGTTATATTTTGGATACTTTCTCACCTAGGGAAGGGGACAGATGCCAAATCCCGAAACGTCATGAAAACTGGTTTTTCACCTATCGTGAAGGATAATTAATCCGCAATTATCCCTCAAGACCATAAAGGTATTGTTTTGTTCTATTTTATCCAAACATTTTCGTTGCCAAAAGGTGAGAATGGACATTAATTGTTGATTCAGTTGGATGTTTCAAACCAATTCAATAATGCTCGTTACTAAAAGATTTTATGGTAGCCTAAATTAAAGCAGTAAATTAATAAGGTGGTCACATAATGCTTCTTTATTTTATATTACTTTTGTACGATTCGTTTTCCCTCCATTATGCATATGCGCTAAGTAAAACGTGTCTTACGTCAGATAGTACATTGTATTTATTTAACAGATCGTTTGGATTGTCGTTGTTACGTTATCAAACGTCAAACGTATTCCCATGTTGCCAATCTATGCATATCATACTTTTTTAATATAGCTAAATTGTAATTGACATTTCCGATGGTATAACCGAACTATACTATATCGTCAATAAATAAATGTTGTCAATAAATGTTGAATGAAAATATAGATTTCAATTCACTTCCTAGATACAGCCAAATTGGTAACTTAAATTTCAAACGATATTCTATGTATTTGTATAGATAAATTTGAAAAGTAGGTTGATGACCTTTTTCAGTGTACAATATTAATCTATTTGGTCTCCAAAAAGAGAGAAAATCGAAATTTTTCTGGGATAATTTCAAAATTGTTACACATATTTCATTTAAAAACTAGTTTGGAGTCCACTACGATCATCAATCATGAATGATCTTCCGTGTAATTTCCTTTACAAATTACCTCAAATAAAAGTTTATTTAAACTTAGGTTACTATATGGTAAAAATATGGCAATAGCTGAATTAAAAATATGTTTAAATGGGGTTTATAGTAATGTTTATGATCCTTGTGAAATTCCTCACAAGAACGTTAATTAACTATTAGAATTAACATCCATACAAATGTAGGTTCTATGATAAAATCTTTAAAATCATGTTTTTATTTTATTTTTAGAACAAATTAAACAACAATCTTTAGTGCACTTATGGTTATTTTACCTAATCAAGTACAATTATTTTGAAAAAATCGTATTTTGTCTGTTATTGTCGACCTGTGAGAGGAAAGAAACTTAAATTGGTGTCATTTTGTCAGTAACACCTAGTAGTTTAACACGTAAAAAATGTTAACACTAACTCCGTTCCAACCTGTATTAACTTCTTCATTTCGTATGGATTTAAAAAATTAAATATCATTTTATGTATAAACCTAATGAGGTATTTACGTAATCTCATTATCATTTTGTCATTTTATTTTTAGTCAGGTCAAGTTTAATAGAGGTCATGTGGCCTAACTTTGCCTGTTTGAATAAATACTTATAATTTTATACTGTAAACATTATGACAACTGCCTAACCAAGTGAAGTAATCCAAGAATGTCTGGTGTTTCAGGAAGACCAAGAACAATCAGGACGAATGCCTAATAGCACAGGAGATCCTACACCCCGTCTGTGCACAGCAGGTTGAGGGATCTGTGGTTCCTACATGCCACAGCCTTGCTGAATACTGCAGGGACGACGATGCTTGCAAGTCAGTACAAACTAATTTCCTCGTGCAACTTTTATCCCAATGAATATCATGTATGAATATGTATTTTATCCCAAAAGTCAGGGAACGGCATTTTATTTTTAAACCATTGCAGATAAAGCTTGCAGATAGTGCTTATATACAAAGCTTTGCATACAAGAACCATACCTAAAAATCTACCTTTTGAAGTAAATATCAATCGTTTTTAATATACTGGAGACACAATGACCATAATATACACAATGAGTCGGAAGGAAATCTTAAATGAGATCACAGGTCAAAGTAGCAAATTTAATTAAAGATGTCTATTTATAAAAAAAAAAACACACTGCTATATACCCGACCTCAAGAGGTTCATCTAACCAAAACGGCAGAGATTTAAAATAACAAATTTCATCTTGTTTGAGCGTATTTTTCTCAAAAGGAGTGAAACAGCGTTTTACTCTATTAAGATAGTGGAATGAAGCTTTACACATAACTACTGAAACTAAAAAGATTTTTTTTTAGAAAACATATTTTTTATCATAATTTCATCAAAGGAGGAACTCAAGGAGTCAGAAGGATATCTAAATAGAGCAAAGTTAAAGTAAATTAATCAAATTACCTGTCTATATTAGGAGAATGTAGTGCTGCAAACCCGACTCAAAAGGTTCATACCAGCCAAAACGGTTCCAGTTTAAATTAAAGGGAGTATCAATTCAACTTAGCTTTGCTCAACAAGCTCAAGTTAGTAATTTTCTGTCTCCCATTTTTGGTGGGTATAAACAATTTTGAGGTCGGGTTTGTGGCACTGTGTTTTCTTTATAAAGGCTTTAAAATAATGTACTAATAAACCTATACTCATATTTAAGATTTCCTTGTTAAAGGCCCCTAGTATAATGGAACAAATTTACATTTGCTTAAAAAACTAGAATTTTAGAAATAGTATTTATATACAAAAGCCTTAATCGCTCTATCTGAAATCGAAAAAATTCCGTCCTTGACATTTTTAGTACACTTGATATTTGTTCTCAACATTTTGTTGTATGCGATTTTTATCTTACCTTTTCTTCTACAATCCAAGGTATGTCAATATCGTGTTATTCATATTTTTAGTTACGAATGCAATAGATTGAACATACTTCACATATATTTAGCATCCTTGTGAGCCAGCTGACGACAAATTCTACGAAATACATTGTAATATTAGATACTCCTTGTTTATGTCGAGGGCAGTTTTTGATTACTATTTGTTTATTTTTATTTTCATCCACCACTAATACAGTTTTAACGAAATAAAAGATTCACAAACCTTTGCCTTTCTTATTATGTTATATACAAAGAAAAAAACATAAATCATATCTACCCTTAAATAAGGGCAAACACATTTATTCGACAATATCACTCAAATTTTTTAAGCATGAAACGCTTTTAAAACAAGCTCAAGATTATACAATTGGAATATAAGTCTGATTTTCCTACTCTAAGTCTATGCTTTTACAAGTATCATATTTCAAGTATATTTTGTATCTTATGATCTATAGTTAACATCTTTTTAGTTGTTAAATAAGGGCAAACTCATTTATTCGACAATATCACTCAAACTTCTCAAGCATGAAACACTTTTAAAGCAAGCTCAAGATTATACAATAGGAATATAAGTCTGATTTTCCTAAAGTCTATGCTTTTACAAGTATTATATTTCAATTATATTTTGTATCTTATGATATACAGGGTGTTTCACGAGAGGTGTCTCAAATTGATTACGGAAAAACGGCTTAACGTACAAGGATGAAATAAAATTATTTCCCGCTAAATCGACCCCAAAGAATAACGTAAAAATATTTTTAACTTTTTCCCAATACAGAGTGTGCCAAAAACTGAGGGTCACTAGTTCGAATTTTGGAATTTTCAAACGTAAACATATGTCATGTTATACATCGTTTTAAAGGTATTTGATAGACAAACATTTTGGCGAAAACAGAAATTAAATATCTTTTTCCGTTTCAAAATGGCGGCAGTTTTTTTTTTTTTAAATCTATATTTTTTTAATACTTTGTGTTTCCTATACCAATGCATTTATCGCTTCTCCGGTTAGATTTTCTTACTCGTTATAAAATTACCTTTACTTTGATATGCTACAAGCAACGGTTATTTAAAATGATAAAAATTTTTAAAAAATTATTTTTGAAAATTTGCGAATGCTCATTGTTCAAAATTTTTAAATAGCAACATATGTCAAGTGGCACATCATTTTATAGGTTTTTAAATTCCTAACAAATTTGTAGGTTACACTTGCCTTGTATCTCTTTTAGTTTTTGTTTAAATAACAAAATACCCCCGCCGCAGCAAACCTGCCTACTAAGCGAATTTCCAGTTGCCTGAATTGATTTTCAATTAAATGTATTTAATTAACATTAATTTTTATGAGTACGTAGGCTTGCTGCTACAGGGAGGGTAAAAAAGTGTGTTTTTAGAGAAATATTAATAACTTAGTATAAAATAAACAAATTTACCAAGTTTGATCAAAATATATCCATAAACAAGCAGACTACAACATTTTACAATATTCCCCATAAGAATAACATCGGAATTTTAAAATAACAATTATTTGAATTTTCTCCGTAACTAATAATAGTAAAAAAACACTTTGATATACTAAATTATTTGTTTTTTTAAGCTCTTTAAGAAGGTCTGAAGAGAAATTGGGAAATTTTGCGTTTGGAGGGTCAAAAATTAGAAAAACCAATTTTTACCCCATAAAACCCCCCGTAAAACCCCGTTCCCATGGTCCGATCATGCTGGTTCGCGAACTCATTCAAGTTTATCCCGCCTTACACCTTCAAACCAAATTTCATCAAAATCGGATAAAAATTACTCAAGTTATCGTGTTCACGGACACACATATATATATATAAATCTATATATATATATATATATATATATACATATATAAAAATTTGAACGAATGGTGTTTCTGGCCTCTGGGGACATCAAAATGAAAAAGTAAATCGGTCCCGGGCCTAGGTCTTACCATGCCACCTACGGTAATAGCTACTTCCCTATAGGGAAATTCGCTAAAACCTAATTTTCCTATGTCAAATGCATGTTATTTGGGTTTGACGTGGTTTAACACTAAATGAAATGGAGCCTTTAGTGTTAAACGCAAATAACATGCATTTGATATAGGAAAATTAGGTTTTTTGTTATTTACGCAAAAACTGAAAGAGATAGGAAGTAAGTGTAAATTACAAAGTTGTTATGGATTAAAAACCTATAAAATGATGTGCGACTTGACATATGTTGCTATTTAAAAGTTTTGAACAATAAGCATTCGCAAATTTTCAAAAATATTTTTTTTTTATCATTTCAAATAACCGTTGCTTGTAGCATATCAAAGTAATGCTAATTTTATAACGAGTAAGAAAATCCAACCGGAGAAGCGCTAAATGCATTGGTATAGGAAACACAGAGTATTAAAAAAATATAGATTTTTCCAAAAGCTGCCGCCATTTTGAAACGGAAAAAGATATTTAATTTATGTTTTTGCCAAAAAAAATTTCTATCAAATACCTTTAAAACGATGTATAACATGACATATGTTTACGTTTGAAAATTCCGAGATTCGAACTAGTGACCCTCGGTTTTCGGCACACTCGGTATTGGCAGAAAGTTAAAAATATTTTTACGTTATTCCTTGGGGTCGATTTAGCGGGAAATAATTTTATTTCATCCTTGTACGTTAAGCCATTTTTCCGTAATCAATTTGAGACACCTCTCGTGAAACACTCTGTATAGTTAACATCTTTTTAGTTGTGCCTAAAGCTGTTATAAATGTCTGATATACTAATTAATTACGGCGTATTGCCTTAAGCAACAAGATTGTCATATCCTAGCCGGTTTTATAAATACAGTGGTTAGTGCTAGAATTTTAATTTATTAAGAGGTTACCCCTGAGGTTACGTTGTGATTGTTTCATAACCAACTTGAGTTACTAGGAAATGCCTTTGAAATGAACTAGTAGTTTAATGCTGTTTTTATAATGATATGAGATGTTTATGGGAGCATATCAAATCAAACCCATCCATCTATAAACATATATATGTTGTAATACATAAAGTTTAGGATGTTAAACTTGGATATCAAATTCATGATTGTATATAAACACACACTTTCTTGCTATAATCATTCGCCTACTTTGCATTCTATTTTGAAATTATTGTAACGATAAAATTAGTATAATCTTAGCAGAAAAAGAAACAAATTTCCTCGTCATGAAAACTAGTCAAATATTTAAATCGAAAGTGTTAATCCTACACTGTTGGTCTTAGCCTAATCCACCTGATGTTTATCCTCTACTTTAGCCTTCACATAAAGTTCTATGAAAGCTTATTCGAGTAAAAAATGAGCTAATAAATAAACATATTCTATAGAAAATAGGAAATAGCTGATTACAAAATGCTAAAAATAGTGTTCGAACTGGAAGTTAAATTGGAAACACCTTGCGTTTAATCGTTAATAGGAAAAGAAGAGTTGTCTAGATATTTTAAAACGATTAATAGAAATTATAAAACAATTAAGAAGGAATAAAAATAAAATCAACAAATCTTACTAGGTTTTTTAAATATACCTATATTAAATATTTAAGTTATATTTCTATTTACTATTCACATAAGTGCATATGTCATACCATTACATAAACGTGTTTATACCTAATGTGTAGAAATCGACCATCACGGTTCTGAGCAATAGTTTGTACCAACATGCTGAATTGTGTTCTCGTATTTTAAGCTAACAAACTTTTTCTAAAGGTGTTTTGAACTTTGGTCCATCACATTTGGGCAAAACGTACGAAAATTTCCGTAAACGTCAATCATCGGGCTTCAGTAGGTTTGTCATTGACTTTTAGTTCGTGTGTCCGCTATTTTCTCCTTGTGTTATTTCCAAAAGAGGCATGATGAAGTAGACCACTACGCTCTTTTTTAATGAATTTATTTGAAGTAAATCATTTTCTCAAGTTAAAA